GTTAGTTAGTTAGTTAGTTAGTTAGATTACTCAGTTAGGTAGTTAGCAGCTAGCTAGTTACATACCTTGATTAAGTTTTTATATATCCGTATTTTTTCTTCATAATGGGTTGACTAGCACGTATGGTTCGTCAGTTCCCTTCTAGTCTTCCCCACTGCCTTGTTATGTAATCCAATTTGTTATTATTGTGTGTTCTTTTGTTTTTTTTTTCCGTGTAATTGGAGTGAAATGGAATAAATAAATAAATAAATGTAACTGCTACGGTGGCCGGTAGGAATCTCACACTGAGATAGGTGCGCGCGGTTTCAGGAAAGCAATAGGCCAGTTACCCTCTTAGTTCAATACGGCAACTATCGAAACCAATACAATGAACGTGTAGATGAAGGGTGCGCGTCACTAGAGGGGGAAATTCATCTATAGTATGTGGGAAATATGACTCGTGGACACAAAAACAAAAAGTTCGCGTCCATTAATTTATCATAGAGTGAGGCCTAAAACATGGCACCGGACTGGTCCGACTGGCAGAAAACTATGGAGGTCTAATGCGTCGCTAATGAACAGAAAGAACAGATGATAAAGGAAAGATAACATTGTTACTGGTCAGTTTCCTAGTATTTTCTTTCGCGCGTAGCAAATGCGGGAAGCCCTCTACCTTCTCTTTGGCCAACAATCTCTCAAAGATCTGCAATTCTTTGAATTGTCTTGTTCAGTACTTCTCAACTTTCAGCGTCGCATAAAAGTACTCGAGAGATTTAAATTTTTATTAAAAAAATTTCTTGATAGTTCAAACACTCGCAAGTGCTCGCGCGCGCTCCAATGGTAGCACAATAAATTTCATTGCATCGTCACATTACAGATAGAAATGCAACTTAAGGAAGACATGGTAAGTCCCCAAACACCATTATATTCTAAATTACTCAGAAGCGCCTTGCCGCAAGCTCCATCACAGTCCATTAAAAATGAATAATTATTGTTACGCCTTTCTGTTGCGTCACGTCATTATTTAAAATGATCACGTCATTATGTCACTGTTACAGTTTGGAGATCTTCAAAGTACTTAAGTTCTATCATCGAGTCCAACAACGTTTTCAGTGGCATAAAATCTGCCCATAAAGCCGGCGCTATCTTCTCTCCAGCTATTCTCTTCCACTTCCACTGAAATGTTCAGGTATCGCTGGCGCAGAACCCGAGCTGCGGCTTTCGGTTGCCTCTGTCGGGTAAGGATCCCTTTCTTGTTGCCAACAATTCGCGTCGTCTCTGAAAACAAAAAGAAATGGCGAAAATCTTTAGAGAAAACCTTTGTCGTTAACTGACTCAAGGCGGTAGTATTGATCCATCCGAGCAAAACAGTTGAAAACTGTTTCAGCTTGGTATCAAAAGAAATCCGGGATTGCAATAGCTTTGCTTTATTACGGCGTACGACTGGTTTATCAAACTTGTGCCACCTTTTCACCGAGCACACGCAAAACTAAAACAAATCGCGAGAAGGTTACGCGCGTTTTCCCGTGCTCCTGGCTTTTGAGTTCTCATGGGCCCTTTCAACCTTATTTGTTCGTCTGAGTTTTCTCGCACTTCAGGCCTTTGAGTCTTACTGGCGTTGTGACCACACTGGTATTAGCTTTACAATACCCAGTATAAATGTGCTCTCTAAAGCAAGCAGTATCCTGATATTGAAGCAAAATTGTTGTGAACCTCATTTACGGTAAGACAATCTTACGTTGTTTGGTCATGAAGTCCGCAAAATTCCATATCAGTTCACCAACAAAGAATTCTTCCCTCAATTTATCAAATACGGGGAAATACTGCAGAATGGTTTCCACCTATTTGTTTGGAACAAAACGAGATCCAGTCAGAATTCCACCAAAAAATTCAACACAACCAATTAAATTTCCCTGAGCTAGGAGTAAATTTGAAAGGTCTAACCTGGTAATCCTCAGTAAACATGAGAGGTGGGTCCTGAAGGAAAGAAGCAAACTGCAGGCGTTAGTTTTGATCATTCTACATCTTTCAAATAAGTAAAGGTAATAACAAAATTTGTTATCCAACTGTGCTTCGCAGAGTACAAATAACGCCCAAACGAGTACAAGTATCTCGCAGTATTTGTACTCCAGAGAACTGGTTAAAATTCACCCGCACTGAAACAACAATTTGGTGTGTTGGATAGTAAATCTCTTATAAAACGTTTTGTTCTGTAGTATCGCTGAGCATTTTCACTCATTGTTTATATTTTGACTCGTCCTACGGGCTCGTCAAAATACGGCACAACCCGTAAAAATGCTCAGCGATACTACATAACAAAACGTTCAATAAGATATATATATATACATAATTATACTTCAAGATTTAGGTTACTTGAACTTTTACTGCAACTCTGAGTTTCATGCCTCTTGCGAAGCAAGAAAAAAGTAAGAAAAAAAAAAAAGAAAAGTTCAAGTAACTTAAATCTTGAAGTATAATTATCCATAGCTCTAGCCCTGCTATTGAGCACTTTTTAGTAGATGATGATCTCATTCCGCCATTTTGGTTCTATATATCTATATATATCATTAGAAAGTATATATATATATATACTTCGTTATTTCATCAACTGGACAATTCCCTTCTGCAAATCAAATAACTAGGATCACAAAGAGCAATTTTTAATTGAGTATCGAAAGTGATCCGCGTTTCCTTAAGTTTGCTTTACCTTGCTCATTGATTGGTCTAGTAAACTCGTGCTTTCCTTTCGGCCAATCAGAAGCAAAATTAAAACCGATCTTGACTTGGTCAACCGCGTTTTCCCGCGCTTCTGGCAGTTTGCCTGTTTTTACTTGGAGTCCCGATTGGCCGCTCGCTGATTGGTCTCGTAAACTCGTGCTATCCTCTTCACTAATCAGACGCAAAACTAAAACCAATTAAAAATTGGTTCATGTTTTGGCGTGCACTATCCAGTTATGGAGCACGCGCGAAGTTTGGAGAGGATCAAGATCTTCAATGTCTATCTGAATGGCTAGAAGACAACAATCTTGTTCTCAATGTTTCAAAAACTAAGTGTGTACTATTTACATCTCGAAGGCATAAAGAGCGCGATTGTATTTTAAATCTTAATCTTATCGGAAAGCTCATTTCTTGCGAAACTACTTTTAAATACCTAGGCGTGGTGTTCGACAATTTTATGACTTGGAAGGCTCACGCAGACTATATGTGTAAAAAGGTGGCGTCAAGAGTTAGTATTCTGGGCCGCATTAGAAGTTTCGTCACAAAAGAGGCAGCAATACTTGTTCATAATACCTTAATTCTTCCCTTATTTGATTACTGTGACATTGCCTGGAGTAACCTTTTACAACAAGATATAGATCGACTACAGCGCTTACAAAATAGATCTGCACGGATTATTACACGTTGCTCTCGGTCATCTGAAGCAATAGATCAGCTGCAATGGCCGACTCTTTCCAGTAGACGCTATTACCACAAGGCTAAACTCGTTTTTCTCTGTCTCCACTCATTAGTTCCTGGTTACTTTTCATCATATTTTACCAGATTTTCGAATATTCACAATTATTCCACGAGGCAAAGTCTGAGGCTATCCCTACCAAAAGTAAAACAGAATTTTGGGAGAAGGACCTTTCTTTTTACTGGCGCAGAAATTTTTAATAAACTTCCTTTAAACATTGTGAAGAGTGAAAACATTCAAACGTTCTGTCGCCGAGCAAAACATTTCCTTTTACCGTAATTTGATATTTTATTTACTATGTTATGTTTTAATTGTGTTTTTAGCTTTGTAGTTTTAGGCTGTTGATGTAGTTGTGAAATCTTAGTCATTGTATATATATATATATCTTTCTAGAAATTTGATGTAAATTATTTTCAATACAGGGCCCCTATGGATACCAGCCTTAGAGCTGAATGGGCTACCCTGTGTAAATAAAGTTTGCTTTGCTTTGCTTGCTTTGCTCTAACTATTACACTGCTGCTGACCATGTGAAATCCAGCGATCGTGCCAGCTCCATATTCAGATTGAGCCACTGGTTTATTAAACGTGTCAAACCAGGCTCTAAGCTCTCCCTCTAACTGGCGGCTGATGAGCTGAGTTTGTCCACAATCTTCGTACCAAGCATAGTAGCGATTGCACAAAATTACATCAACATACTGCACCTATTTGAAAAACACGGGATAAAAAAGTGTATATGTATTCACGTTAGGAACCTTTGCTAGGGTTTGAGGTAAGATAATAATATGTGGCCTGCTCGTAGTTGGCCTATGCTAGTCAAGAGACTAATATTCTTTCGGAAGTTGAAAAGTAAAGTGGAATTACTTTGCTCTGTGGTTGATCGAGAAAACTCGCCCTACAACGTCAGCAGATCGGAGGCGAAATGTTACCAGTTTCGACTTGGTCACTTGCATTTTCCCGCGCTTCACGTGGCTTCGCATTCTTATTGGCTACTAACGATGTTTTCGTTGTTCTGATTGGTCGTTTTGATGAGTTTCAGTTACAACACTCAACCAAAGAGCCCTCTATCGCAAGGAACTTACCGCCTTATCTTCGTCGGCGCGGGAGGAAGTGACAAACGTGACAGGTCGAGTTGTATCCAATGAGCGAGTAAATTCGATAACGGATCTGTCAAGAAACGATAACCATGCTCGTCAGACAGCGATAATGACAAAATTAAAATGGAAGCGGGAACGTAGGTTACCGGAAGATCCTAGTGTGGTATTCTTGGGTAAAACACTGAAGCCATTAGACTCTGCCAAGGACTTGGGAGTCTTCCTTGACCCCCATCTGACCTACGATCACCACATTTCACGTGTAGTGTCATCTTGTTTCGCAAAGCTTTGTCAAATTAATAGAGTGAAAAGGAGCTTCGACAAAAAAACACTAGAGTTGTTAATAACGTCGCTAGTTTTTAGTAAGATGCTTTATTGCTCATCTGTATGGTCAAATACCACACTCCAGAATATAAACAGATTACAATCTATTCAAAATTTTACCAGTAAGATCGTAACAAACTCTAGGAAGTTCGACCATGTAACACCTTTGCTTCGTGAGCTAAATTGGCTTCCTGTTAAAGAAGAATTATTTTTTAGAGACTCCGTTCTGACCTTTAAATGTCAGAACGGTCTTGCGCCTCAATACTTGACGAGTAAGTTTACCAAGCGATCAAATATACATACTCGTAACACTCCTACGCGGAATTCTTTGCAGATTCCGCTATACAGAACGGCTACTGGCCAGCGCACTTTTTCCTATAGAGGGGCCAACATATGGAATAACTTGCATAAAGAACTCAGGCAAAATGCCTCATTGGCATCTTTCAAGCGCGCTCTGCAAGACACACTCTTGAGGCAGACATTTCCTTTATAACCCCTAGAACTTGGTGGAATACTATCTTAAATTCTGACCATGAGTTTTATCGTTATTTATTTTTTTATAAATTGTAAAAAGTTTGTAAATAGTTTTTGAAAAACCTCACGAGGATATTACTATTAAAGATGATGATGAAATACCCGGGAAGTTGACAAGAGTTGTCACGAGAGCCTCTGTCTTCCGAGGACGAGGTATTCCCTGTAACAAGTTCTCAAATATATAGTATTGGAACGCTGTCTCCGAAAGGGAGGGTAAAGGGGCGAGAAAGGGCTGGAATTTCACAAATTGAGCAACGAAAAAGGTAAGGAAAACTATCATTCAGTGTTTGGAAGGTATATCTTCGAGGTTAGTCTGTCGTATAATAAATAATTAACCACCCTCCCAACCGATCAGATGCAAAACTAGGACAATCACGACTCCGTCACTGGTATTTTCCTGTGCGTGAACTTGTCCCATGTGATTCGTTTGAGTTCTGATTGATTTACTGTGCTTTTTCCTCCTGTTCTGATTGGCTATTTTGAATACTTTGGTCTTTTAAGAAGTTCATCGAAAGGCGCTCTTATACTGACTGCCAAGAGAGGACGAGGCAAGGGCAGATATCCCCATGTCCAAAAGAATTTCCCCAACCCTATTTTAAACCATGCGCCACGCAATGAAGTTACTTTCATATCTGACTCCTACGACTGCGAGGCCAATGATCACGATGTTATATATCAGATACAATGAAATATATGAAGTTCATATATTTCATCATATATTTTTATCATATATTTTTTTTTTTTTTTCAGGTCTGATTTTCGCTATTGCTTAAATAGCGCTATCTACTGCGAGGATCGTGCATCATATGTATGTTATATATCGTTGCAATTCAGTCCTGGCGTTGAAGATTTCTACATGTATTGAGGAGAGGCTCTGTTCTCTCATTGTCTTTTGCATCTTTAATAAGACTTACTTAAAGTAAGGTCCAGCGGCAGAATCCCCAGATGCTGGTTCATTGGCTACAGACCACATGACAACTGAGGGTCGATTCTTGTCGCGACGAACTAACTCTGCCATGACATCCAAGTGATGGTGGAGCGTGTCATTCCTGAAGTTCTCTCTGGAACAACAACAGAGGTTCATTAAGCCTATTCTAGGCTCATAGTCAGTAAAAAAGAGCGTAAAAAGAGGCGCAGGAAAATGGCAAGCAGACGTGTACGCCGCTTTCTTAACAACGGCAACCGCCGCGCGCCTCGCGTCCACATGCTCGCTGTTTTTCCCGTGCACGCTTTTTCCTCGTCTCCTCCAACTTAGAGCCTAGCAGCATGGGCTTACGTTCGTGTTCGTCTGTTTGGTTCATCTCAATATGATATAAAATTGGGATGTGAAATTACTTGCTTAAAATAAAGAGAAATGAGAAAAAGCGCGATGAACTAATGACAGCAATTTCAGATCGAAAGTAATCTACAATATCGATATTATTGTTTTTAATTCACTCAGTGGATGGTTTGAACAAAACTAAAACCAATCGCGACCAGTTCATAAGTGTTTTCTCTCCCTTGAAGCAATTTGGTTGTTGTTGCCAAGGGAATTATCCTGACCTTTAAACCCCTGAGAGAGATCAATATCTAATTTCTCCTTACAATATCACTTCTAAATCAAACATTATGGTCACGAGAATAAAGGAAATGATCACTAACTAAAGAAGCTCTTGATTGTTAAACAATTTCTCCTTTTAAGCACTTTAAGAAATGTTTAGAGAACAGTATCGAAAACACGTATACTGACGTTACGGTATAAAGGGTAAAATCCATGTGATAGACATATCTGCGGGTGAGTGTCGAACTACATTGGTTTTTCTTTACCTCGCACTAGGATTTGTCTGAAGAACTCGCGCCACCCTCTTTAAACCTAAAACCAAACCATTGAAAATTGCTCTGATTCACCCCTTACTCTCTAATTCCCACTCCAGGGCTTTCATCAATGACAACAATCCCTTGTTCGTCCGCCATGTCCATAATCTCATCAGCGTAGGGGTAATGACTGGTGCGGAAACAATTGGCGCCCAACCACTTGATAAGGTTAAAGTCTTTGGCTATGATAGCATAGTCCATTCCTTTACCGCGAATCTGCAAAAACATTCACAAGTCAGGAAAGGATGGTAATTATTATCCTATCCTCAAATGAGTCATTTCCGAAGCAGTATCGCTCCACCCTCCTAACCAATAAAATATTCAGTTGATGCAAAAGTAAAACAAATCCTAACTTTAGAGAGATTTAGCACCGCGTTTACATGAAGCGTGAACGGCAAGAGTGACCACGTGACCTTGATTTTCCCGCCATTTTTTCACGTTTGCCGGTTGCACTTTGCCGTTATGGGTGAGAGTAACCTGTTTCGCGTTTGCCGTGTGCGTAAGATTTTCTTCACTTTTTCTCTCACAGAGTAGAAGTTCATTGTTGGAAAAAGGGCATCAAAACCATTCTTTGTAAGTCATACAAGGGCGCCTTTAAATGGCCGCCATGACGTGAGCTCACGCGAAGCTAAAGCAGCAAGCTTCACGCTATTTTATGTGTAACGTGATAGGGCAGCTGTTCGTTTGCCGTTTCCGCACATAAACGCGGTGCTAAATCTCCCTTTTGGTCACTCACGTTTCCCACACTTCAAGCAGATTGCCTGTTTTTAGTTTGAGTTCTCCTTGGTCAATGATGATGTTAACCTTTGATCTAATAAGTATTTGTTCGCATTTTTTGTTTTTTTTGTTTTTTGTGAGTTCCTGATGGTCCTTTGCAGTTTTTTTGTTCTGATTATTTGTAACGAATTTACCATGCACGTAAAAAAAAAAACCAGCTTTGTCAAGGCTAAGAAAAAGGAAACTAAAACAATGTCACATAGACTCCAAAATTTCTTTCGAAACTTGAAAGTTTCTTTAAAACCTTTTACAGACCACACTACTTACATCCGCATCTTCATGCTTGCCAAATCCTTTGAAGTAAAATGACTTGTTGTTTATGAGAAACTTTGTCCCCTTCACCTCAACTTTCCTAATACCCACAGGTAGGTAGTAAATGTCATCAGTATCATGCAGATGAGAATGAGTTTTGACCTGCAAAGACGGAGACAGGTAAAAGGTACCATAAGTCAGAGATACCCTGGAGTAACTAAACGAAGAGTCAGGGCTCTGTGGTCAGTTCTAAAAGTTTCCAGCAGTAGAGATTATGGTACAAACGAAGTGTTATCACTTGGAAAGAGTGATTGCTTACAGGATTTGGTATTACTCATAAAAAAAGTTTTCTGTAGAGATGCCAACAAAAACCAAATTATCCAGCACAAACAGTTTAAGAAATAAACTGAGGAGACAATTTTTTTCTGTGTATATTTTAGACCTTTGATAATGATTCCATTTGCATATAATCTCAAACTACCTTCAATGAATACAGATATGCTGGTTGATGACTCATTCCAACTGGCCACCAAAGCATTGGATTCTTCACAATCAATGTTCCTTCAAACAGGCCTGAACCTTCAGTTGAGGCTACCACATTACCAGCCTTGTCCATAAGTTCATAACTCATTGACACATTCATGGAGGAGGTTGTGGTGTGAAACTTGACCATGCCCTCATTCTCTGAGAAGTCTGTTGTTATGGTGATATCTGACAGGTGAACAACTGGAGTAGTGTAAAGTTTGACCGGACGATGGATACCGGCATAGTTAAAGAAGTCAAAGGTAGTTTCTTGAACAAAATATCCTGGAGGATACCTGAAGTTACATAAACTGCATATGAGTTATTGATCAAGAGGTCAAGATGGGCTATCTTGAGTATCAGGTCTTCCCACAGGAGGGGAGTGGGACCAAGCAAAAGTGAGAGTTTTCCCCTGACCCCCCACTTTGGCCTTGTCCCTATTTGCATTTTATGGATCAAGATGAGGTCTAAAACCAAAAAGAGTGTAACACCAATATCTAGTCCTGATAATGAGGTGAAGTTGGGTTATAAAGGATTTTTTGTGTGGCAAACCAATATACTTGTCCAAGGAATTGCCCAATAAATTGATTACGCTTTGAATTCATTTTGAAAATCTTACCTATCACCAGTCCTATATTTTATTTCTCCTGGTGGAAGAGTAGAAGGAGTCAAGGTGTTGTTCACTGCAGCAGTTATTCTGTTGATTGCTCCAAAAGACAACAGTGATGTAACATCTGCTTCAAAGGGAAGATGGCCGCCAGAGTGTGTCATCACTTCTTTACCATTAAGCCACTACAACAGATAAGAACCATTTATGTTTTAATCAAAAAGGGTCAGACAAGGAGTGTAAGTTCAAGTGTCTTGAACTGTGGCAGGAGGGGGAGGGGGGACAAGGAATCTGGTAGATTAATTGGCTCTAGCTCGAGTCCTTATAAGAGTTATGTCAATTAATAGAGAGTAATATTCACCTTTAGAAACACCACATCAGAGAGAGGCTTGTTGTTGGGACCAGACAGTTCATTAAATGTATGTATCCCACATACGTTAAAAAAAAAAGACTATTACATCAAAGACATTTGTTGAATACACCAAAACAATGGTCCAGTGATCAAGATCAAATTACTTAATTATACTAATCAAAACTGTCTATGGTGTGGGTGGGATGGAAACTAAAACTTTCTAAGAAGCTAGAATTAAGTATGTTGCTTGCTTGCTTGCTTGATTGATTGATTGCAAGTGACACATGCACAGATACCAAAACTGTAATATACTTTAGTAATTTTGCAATTGAATGCATTAGCGTGGTACTGAGACAGCCATTGGCTCTATCAAAGTCCTATGACTTGCATGCTGAACAAATAGGTCAATCTCAAGGACAGCTAGGACTAATAAAATTATGTAAACTGCCTGTACCCAGTCTAGACCGCTCAGTTGTCGATGTCTAGATTATTTGAATTTATAAAAAGGAATTAGGTAAAGTTTGTAGTTAAGTGGCCCATCCAGCTGGAGCCTAACACCACCAGCCCAACCCCCAGCACTTTTTCAGGTCTCTCTGGCAGTTTGGTAGTGGTGAATTATACTCCTGGGGAAAGAAGGGGACTTTGAGAGTGAAATGTCTTGCATAAGAACACCACACAATGACTGGCCAGGTCATGAACCAAGACCTTTAACCCTTTAAGTACCAAGATCTGTTTGTTCACTCTCCCCTCTAGCTGCTACACATTTCCTTGTTAATTGGTTTCAAGAATTTGGTATTCAATCAAGGTAACAACTTCTACTTGATAAGTTTGAGTATCCTTACTACCTGTTTGCTGGATCATGTATGGATCTTACAGGGAGAAGTTATATGTTAATCACCTGTGGGAGTTAAAGGTTAACCCAGTGTCAGTATTAACAGATACCTGCAAGGTGACAGATTTCAGTTTCCTCTGATCCTCAAGTACACTTTTTCCTAGTCTAGTTTCAACAAAGATATAGAGAAACAATAAAACCTACCACGATAGTGTTGTAATGTGCACTTTCAAAGCGGAGCACGACCCTGATTTCTTCAGAATTCCAAGTTTTTGGAGCATAAACTTCCTTGTCATACCACACCCATCCAATAAAGTCCCTCAAGGCTTTGTCTTGTGTTATATCATTATAACTTGATGGTACAGGCATTGGAATAACATCGCCTGTCTGAAATAAATCAAAATTAAGGAGCTGTGAGGGCTTTCTAATCATTCTAACTGCATTTCATAACTGAAATGGCAACTTAGAGTTGCTAGAAAGCTAATGAGAGCTGAGATAGAAACAAACCCTTTGAAAAATGATTACTTTCTCTTAGTTCAGTGTACTTTCAGTTGTTTGAAGTATCATGAAATTTCTTTGTTTAGAGACTAATGGAGATGAAATAGAGTTTTGGTTTGCTTTCCACTGCAAAATCATGTGGAAGAATATTTTTGAAGCAATTAGCTGCAATTGGATAATTATCATTTGTCTGATGAAGGAATGACGGTAAGCATTTGCAGGCAGGCAGTCTCATCACCCAATGGGGGAGGGAATGTGTTGCATGACAAGACCTTTGAAACTAAAAGGTATATGAAAGAGACTACAGGAAGCCTGGCACCAATGCAGTTCATTTTTGCCAACAATTATTCAGACACCAGCAGCAAAAGACCATAAAATATGTGTCTGAGGTTATTCCAACCCGCCCATACAAAAAAATAATAACTCTTACATACATCGCATGCCTGTTTCTATGTTGCCTTTAAAAAGTTCACGTCGTGCTACAATTACTTGCAAAACGATGACATGATGTTTGGTTGAATGTGATTGTTACATTCACCTCTTTTGACTTGTGTTAAATTTGAATCATATATATGCAGTGTTATCAATTAAACCCTAAAGCTACATGAAGGCGGGTGGCAATCACAAAATCTAATTGTCTCGAAGTTCGTCACTTAATAGAAATCGCTGCTAGGTACCGATTATGTAGTAAAAGAGAAAGATTCGACTTGGGATGATTTTCATTATCAGCAAAGTAGAATATGCTCCTGTTATTTACGGGCTTCTGAACCATACAGACAAAGAGCTTAGTAAAGTAATAGAATCCCCAGACATCGCAGTCTTTGGCTGAAGAATATGACTGAATGCGGTTTGAAATAGTGGCTTTAACTTCTTACCTGCGATAGAGGTTTAGCAAACCAATTCTGTTCGAAACCGGTATTCCTATTTGCAGACATATCTGCCCGGAAGTTCCAAAATCCACAAAAATCCTTCACTTCTCGACTCTCGGATTCTCTGGGAAATAACATGCCTGGTAACTTGGCCTTCAAAGGTTCTCCAAGACTAAGGTAACAGCCCAAAAATACCACTGTAAAGGCGAGTTGAAAGTCCATCACATTCGGCGCCATGCTTAGTTGCAGAAGAGTGAATATCCTGTATTAATTCCTGTATTAAAGTCAAGCACATTAAGATCGAGTCACGAGACCAAAAACTCTCCTATTTACATATTTCACTCTTGAAAGAATCATGTGTCATGCAATACCAGATATCACGGAATCATTCATCGACTTTTCTGTCAACATGCTGCTGATGTTTACGAAGAACAACTCTTTAACGCAAGCAAGTTTGCCTCTTCACCACCCCGAGAAGATTATTCAAACGGAGAGGAAGCTGGTGCAAGCAACAGGTTGTTTTCGGGTTCGCGCGGAAAAGACATGGCGCTGGTACAGACTTCATTATTACAATCCATTTTCATCGTTGTGAGTGTGAATGTCTTTTTTACGATAGCTGCTTTGCCTGGCATGTTATTCCCTAGAGACTCGGAGCGCCGAGAGGTGAAAGATTTGAGCGGGATATGGGACTTTCGCGCCGATATGTCAGACAACCGAAATGGCGGTTTTGAGGGTTTGTGGTTTGCCAAACCATTATGGCAGGTAAGCTTAACTAAATATTACGATAATGAAATTTTGTTCTCAAGACAGTTAAAAATATCAAGATAAACCTTTATATACTTTCTTTAAATCGTAACAAGCCTCTGAGCCTTTGAGAAAAACTCGAATCGTTCTAGCGGAAATTGCCTCGCAAAACAGGAAGAACTGCCAGGGAATCCTCTCTTGAGTTCAGCTTCAACGATCATTTGCTCCTTTTAAGAAATACACGAATTGGCTTTTGTATTCAATTGAGTTTCTTCCTTTCCTATCATCGATTTCTATCTTAAATACCTAGATATTTATGTTAACCTGTAGGCAAATAACGAAACATTTAGCAAACGGGTGTTTAAACTTCTTAGTCTGGAAACACAAAAGAAGGTAATTGATCAAATTAAAATGTTTTGGGACTTGTGAATTAACATATTGTTCAAAATTCGAAAAAAGAATTGACTTGAAATTTGAAAGAATTTAACTTTAACTCAAGGAAACGTGGCCTTTGAGAAATATAATTCCTTTCAACACTTAAATAATTAATTTCTTGTTAAAATGATTTCTACATGCACTACTGATTGCTTTGATTGAATAATTGAATTAAACTTTTTTTTGATAGGTTTCTAATGCAGTCCAAAACTGTATTATATCCTAGCTTACCAGTAAATAGTTTTTCTCTTATGTATATGCATCATGCATGTTTTGACATTTCTTTCATATAGCTCGATACATCTAATCAAAGTACTGATCATGATACTTTTATGATTTTGTGACAATTAAGTGTCTTGAAAGTTGCACTCAGTTGTTGCTTGAGATTGTATTTTTCATAGTTGATAATCAACTAATATATAAAGACAATTTCAAACAACAATTTAAGCAAAGCAGATGGCAAGGTTGAGGACGTGTTTAATCTTAATCAGTCAAGTAAGAAAAAATTATTGTGTTTTTTCAAGTCCTCAGTGTGGCATAAATACATTTTAAAGTCAGTTTCATTATCTGGATAGTAAACAATTTAATAATGCAGGCACCCTCAAAATATTGACTGCCCTGTGAAACTGAATAGATAGCTGATATTAGGCTAAGATTACACTATCGACTGATCTGATTAAGCCAACAATTACTGTGATATTTGGATATACGGCAATAAAAACCTTCGATGTTCTTTGATTTCAATACTTTAATCCACACACTATCCATATGGCAGCCAACGAGTACCACAACAACAACTTTTGCTAGGCATCACAGGATGCCTACAAACACAACCTTTTCACACTTCTGGTACAATTCACTACAATTACTATTTGGTAGTGTATGAAGATCACATTTTAAGTTTTTATGGAGAAACATAGATTGATTTGTGGGAGTATTAAATTTTACTGGTCTTGCAACATTGGCCTTTTTTTTTGCTCGTTTCCATCTGTGTTCAAGTGTTCATGTATTTTTTTGTAGTATTTCTCAAAGTCTTGCTTTTTTACCAGTGGCTGAGTTTTAACAAAGCTGCATTCTGAGAAGTTTATCACTTGCTGTGTCTGAAAGTTCTGGTTTGAGAAATCCAGGGTGTCCAGCTCTTAACAGCTTTCCTATAAGTAAATTTATACAAGTAGCCCCAAGGAAATAAGAGAAATTCACACATGACATCTGAACTCTAATACCAAGCAGAGCTCTGCATGATCAGAACTTTTCACATTGATTTTAAATTCTTTGATATTTGTTTGATATATGATGTTGTTGTTGACAAACTGCAGAGAGTTCAAAACGTAGCCGCCAGACTTGTTGTTAAGCAGGGCAAATTTTGCCACATAACACCGGTGCTCTGTCAGCTGCATTGGCTTCCTGTCTCATTTCGTATTAATTTTAAGGTTCTGCTTTTAACTTTCAAAGCCATTCACAAATCCGCACAGTCCCATATCAATGATCATGTCAAAATTAAGCCTTAAAATTCAAGATATGGACTGCGTTCTAATGACGGAATACTGCTATCTTACCCGAATTTTAAAACTTTAAAAACCCTAGGCGACCGTGCTTTCGTTGCTTCGGTGCCGAAACTCTGGAATGATTTACTTTCAGAAATTAGAATTAAATCTGTCAACACTTTGAAAAAACTCTTAAAGACGCATTTCTTTAGTAAGGCTTTTTATTCTTAGTTAGCTTAGCTTTTAATATTTTATACTACACATGATGTAACTGGTATCTATTACAAAGCATTGTTGTAATGATGTAATTAGTACTTATTTCATGCATTGTTGTAATGATGTAAGTAGTATTTATTCCATGCATTGTTGTAAGGCGCAGTTGATCATCCCACCATGGAAACTGCACAGTATAAATTCACAATTTTATTTATTTATTTATGTAGTCTGGGAGTGTAATTCCAATGCCTGTTCCATCAAGTTACAATGACATCACTGAAGACAGGAAACTGAGAGACTTCATTGGCTGGGTTTGGTATGAGAAAGAGGTTTATGTCCCCAGGTCATGGGAAACTAACACCACCAGAGTTGTCCTTAGATTTGAAAGTGCAAACTACAACACCATTGTGGTAAGATTACTTAGTCTCCGAAGGAAACCTTATTTTGGAAATAGATATGTAATGATTATAGGCTCTTTAAACTTGCAGTTATCAGACCTGATAATCCTTTGAGTTGATAACTAGTAAGTAAGTTTGGGTTCAGGATACTTTTTTTGTACCACAGTAAGGGCTTTGGCTAAACCCCTTCCCCTAACTCCACCTTTCTCCTCCCTTTTCACACAGAGATAGAGCTACTGATATGTGTGGATCACTGGTCCTAAATGTTCCGTTGAAACAAGATCCAATATGGAAGAGAATCATATTTAATGTGATAACACACAATGCAATCTAAAATACAAAGAAACCATGTTGGCAATCGGCCTTACAAGTGTTTAAAAGAAACAGAAAATTAACTGTTATGGTTATAACCTGGAAATCAACTGACAACTAACTTCTTGACTGCATGCCTCTATATTTGTGGCAAGTAACTGGTTAGCTAAAGGATGAACTGAACTGAACAACTGAAAAACTAGATTAGGCATCTTAATTTAAATGTTTACGTGACAAATTTTGCTATAATTATTACGATATATGAATTTGAACAGAGTGCTTGCATGACTGCAACAGTAAACATAAACAGCATGCACGTTGAACTTAACAATTAATTATAATAAATGACTGTTCATCAGTGAAACACCAAGACTTCTATAAATGAAAATTCTTAATGCATTCTAACCAGTGATATACAGCATATAATAAAAAAACAGATAGGTTCTTTGGCCCTTCACTCTGAATACCAGCTATTCTCAAGTAAAAAGAAAGATTGTAATGGAAGGATACCTGCTTTCTCCCTACTTAGTGCTGTCAGTATGATTGCTTGGTCAGAAATAATACATTTGCTCTTGTGGTAACTCTCTTTTCTCAGAGGACCTCTGGGGCAGTATTAATGGGTACCAGTGGTCTGTCTGGGAAACTGATCCCTGATGAAATGCTGAAAGTTGTCTGTGAAGAACTAACAGCTAATCCATTGGGAATTTTCTTCATGCTGCTGAAAATAGGATAAGGCCTTGAGTGTGGGCCATTGTGGACTGGGATTGTACAGTTTTTAATTTTTTTACTCTAATTTTTGTTTTAGTGGTTGAACGGAAAAGAAGTTATGCGGCATGCAGGAGGACATCTTCCATTTGAAGTGGATGTTACACCTCTGCTTACCTTTGAAAAACCAAACAGGATCACTGCTGCAGTTAATAACACACTCACACCTACAACACTCCCCCCAGGGGAGATCCAATATCTCACCAAGGGAGACTGGTGAGTATTTGATTTAGTACTGCTCTGTCCACTCCCTACCACATGCTTGTAAGAGCACCTGGTCTTATGACACAAAGCATGGTTTTATCTGCTCTTCTTGTTATCAATTTAAGACTCAGTTAATGAGACATACAATAAAATGACTGAATATATGAAGTTCATATATTTTGAACTGCGGTTATAGATATGTATGATGCACGATCCTCACAGTAGAGAGCGCTATTTATGCAATAGCGAAAATCAGACCTGAAAAAAATCAGGCCTCTATGGGATTCGAACCACTGACCTCTGCGATACTAGTGCAGCGCTCTAACAATCGAGCTAACAAGCCAACTGGGAGCAGGCCGTTAAGTTGATTCATAATAAACCTGTGATGATAAATCAGATATGATGAATATATGAAGTTCATTCAAGACATATAATATTCATCATATCTGATTTATCATTACGGGTTTATTATGAATCAACTTAACGGCTTCATTAATTGTTTGAAGCTTTAGAATTTAGTAACCTTGCTCAATGTTTGAATCCATGACAGATTTAAAATGGAAAATCTCTCTAGATCATCAAAGTATAGATCAGAGCTTAGATATTGGTTGTAATTAAGCCAAATTACATTATAATTTGATAGGAGAATAAATTCTGAAAACATTTGTTAAAGGAAGTGTGCATTAAGGCAGAGAGATTTTTAAGTCAGATTGTACTCAAGCAAACTTTGAATGATTATTTTCACTTTAAAACAGAAAATTTATTTTTTTTAATTATTTAATTTTTATTATTTATTTTTTATCAGGTATCCACCTGGATTTTTTGTCCAGAAATATACTTTTGATTTCTTTAACTATGCTGGTATTCATCGTCCAGTCAAATTATACACCACGCCCATTGTTTATCTCTCTGACATCACCGTGACAACAACTTTCTCAGACAATGTTGGTGAAGTCAAATTTCTTGCAACCGTGTCATCAATCAGTACTATTGCCATGCTTCCAAAAGGTGATATCACCATGGAATATCTTCTGTATGATAAATTGGGATTTGTTGTTGCCTCAGCTGGAGGCCCTGATATGTTTGAAGGAACGTTGTCAATCAAGAATCCATTGCTTTGGTGGCCAATTGGAATGAGTGAGAAGCCTGCATATTTGTACTCACTAAAGGTTGTTGCAATACATTTTATCAATTTATGAAATTCAGTTATTATTAACCATGCAAGCTCAATGTTGACCAGGATGCTTTTATGAACTGTGAGGAAGTTAAGGGCCCAGCTGGATAAAGGGTTGATAACACTTTCCAATGGATAAATAGCTATTCAGCTGATAGAGATTCATTCAGTGGGGTAAGGTGGATAAAGATGAAAAAAAAAAAGAAATCATAGCCAGAATCCTGCAATGTTGTTTGAACAAACTGAGTTTTTTAAATGGCTTAAAATGATTATGCCAAAGATTGACAAAACTCTTTGGAATTTTCTTCATTTTTGCACAAATTTGTTATTGTAACTCCATTGTTGCTTAAACTGTTTGTAAAAGTAGATAACTATAAATCCTTTTTTCTTGCCACCAAAAAAATGCCCTGTAGTTACAAAGTGTTTAAACCAAGTGTGATGTTTTCTCTTTTTGTGGGATCAAAGCAGGCAATTTCTTAGTTTGTTCAGGATTAAATTGTTTTAGATCAACTGCGTTTTCCCCAATGGTTCCAGGGTCTTCAATAAATCCCATTTCCAATCTTAATTTTTATATTTTGCCTTATATGGTACACTGCAGGTGGTCACCCGGTCTGCACTGTTTACATTAGAAGATGTGTATTACCTCCCTGTGGGTATACGGACTGTCAAAGTCGAAGGAACCAGTCTTCTTATAAACAACAAGCCATTTTACTTCAAAGGATTTGGAAAACATGAGGATGCTGATGTAAGTGGAATACCTATGCATCATAGATATAGAGATCTAATAATCATACTGATAAATTTAGATTAGTTAAATTGTGCAGCAAATGCCTTTCTACACAAGCATGCTCACCTTTTCAGGGCTCTACACTAACTTTTCAACTTACTAGCCAAATGGCTAGCGACAACTTAGATGTTACAACAATTTCAGTTTGTTTGCTAGCCAAACTAGCTTAATTGTGGAAATTGAAAACCACTAGCCAAAACTGAATTTCTACTAGTCTGTGGCTAGATGGCTACGTTTAGTGTCAAGCCCTGCCTTTTTTCTCATCTCCCCTGACTTAAATGGAGCCAGGAACAGGACTCTTATCAAAAATGGGTATAGTAATACACTTGGTCCCTTTAGAAACCATGATGGGCCCCAATGCTTGTAAGATTCAGTCCTTATAAGAATCACCTGCATTTTTATCCAAAGATTCGTGGTAAGGGTCTGGATTATGTCATGATAGCCAAGGATTTCAGTCTTCTTAAATGGCTAGGTGCAAACAGCTTTAGGACAAGTCACTATCCCTATGCTGAAGAGATCATGGATATGGCTGATCAGCAAGGAATTGTGGTAGTGGATGAGTGCCCTGGAGTGGGAATTAGACTGTAAGTTGCTTTGAGCCAGATTAGAGTGCTTACTGACAGTTAGAAATCAGCTGCTTGGGGCAGTATGTTTAAAAATTAATAGGCCTCTCCAGTGTTTTCTCCAGTGTAAGTTGAATGAGTCTTGCATGTTAGGGTCCTTACTCTGTTCTTCCTTGGGGAATGTCCGCTCATTGTCCCAAACAACAGCTGGATATTATCCTGTCCTCAATGTTTGTGACAAATTCTAAATGGATGAAGGATAAATTTAGGAATTTTCATATCTGGTCAAACGTTTGTATAAATTTTTCAGTCTACCCACATAGCAAAGAGTTTTAAAATGTTTTTTTGATTGATGATTGCTGACAAGATTGCCCTACGCTATACGTACTGACTGTATTATCTCTTTTAAATATCTTGACCAATCACTGGCTGATTCACGAAAATAAGGTAGAGGGTGATTTGTATAATTATGTAGCTAATTTCCATTCAGGTCATAAAGAAAATTCTAAGTCCAAATTTAGCTCACTCTTTTCGTTTTTCTTCAGTAATAACCTTGGTACAGAATCCTTGGAACATCACACAGAAGTCATGGAAGAATTGATACGCCGCGATAAGAACAGGCCAGCGGTTGTCATGTGGTCTGTAGCTAATGAACCGTGTAGTGACAAGCCCAAGTCGGTACCATACTTCAAGTAAGAACATACCACAATAGCGGAGCCGGAATAGAACAATTTTATACGTGGTGCCAGGTGTAGTCTGTGACTGCATTGGTTTTGCTTTACCCCACTCTGTGATTTGCCTAGAAATCTCGTGCCAGCACAATTTAGTCACTTACGTTTTCCTGCACCTCTCGCAGTTTACTCGTTTTCACTTTACGTTTCCATCAGCCCGCTATCTTTTCTTTCAATCTGATTGGCTGTGGGGATTAGCTTGAGCAATTGCTTTGGTTTTACTTTAATGAGCTTTGTTATTGGTTGTGCAAAAAAACTAGCGCCAACTCTTCAACCAATCAAGTGGCAAACTAAAAACAATCATCTGTGTTTTCCCGCGCTTCAGGTAGAGTGCTTGGATTTACTCTGAGCTCTCTTGATTCTTTGTGTTATTTTGCTTTGTTCTGATGGTTGTTTCTATTAGTTTTGTTTTGGTCCTACAACACTCCACCGAACGACGCGGTATCTGTTTAGAATTGGAATTGAGCTATTTTGATATAGGACGGTTTATACTCCTTTGGTTTTGAGTTTTCGACACTCAGTCGAAGAGTGCTCTGAGTAGCTTAAGAAGAGCAAGTTATATTTTCGACGAGCCACAAACCGTAAGATGGCCCTTTGAAGTATGTCTTTGGTGCATCATAGATTCATTTTTCATTTCGTATCAGGAACATTGGCACTTCCCAGAGAAGGTCTGAAATGTTATTGTAGATTCTTTCTCAGCATTTCGCCTAAAGTTCATAGTCTAGTTAAGTGAACGCAACACCATCCGGAATAACATACTTCACCCATTCGTAGACTGCGTTTCAAACACACTCACCCTAACATTAGTATTTATATTCTCCAAGGAGAATTTCTTTTGACAAACAGGAGCTCCTTAAATTGGTGTTCATCTCCTTTATTTTCATGACCTTTACATATGATATAAAGCCAGTCACTCTTGGGAGTTGAGCTTCCAAAGCTTCCAAGTTTATTTCGCACTATTCAAATGAATACAGTATGAGATGACTTATATAACTAGGTGAAGAAGATAATGAGAAGTAGATATCATGCAGGTTTGTATATGTATGCACACTGACCAAAGTAGCCGTAGCTTTCGTGTTGGTCACTGTCCTATTTAAGTAAATAGAGAGGTCCAAGATACAAGTGTAAGGTAATAATAAATTAGGGTATTAAGAGAATAGTTCTTAATATAAATATTTAGTATAATTTCAGAGCTGAGCAAAGAGTTTCCAGTAATCTGATTGGTCGAGCGGTTCCTTATATGACACTGTATAAACCGTACCACGCGTTTATACAGTATGTTAATCAATGTTACTAAAATTTTATGATTTTAGAAATTTCTCTGTTGTTCAGCTCTGAAATTATACTAAAACAATTATTCGCCTCAGGTTCGGTGAATTGTCGAATAATCCCCTCGACTTCGTCTCGAGGATTATTCGACGATATTCACCTCGCCTTCGGCGAATAACTGTTAAATAGAATGAATACTAGACTTATTGGTAAAGCGCGATAACATACTACATACATTTAGAATTTATAATAAAAGAGGAAAAAAAGGAGAAAAAAAAGTTGAAGGGTTAAACCGTAGACAAACAGCTCAAAGATTCCAACTGACAACCAACTTAATATGAGATGAAATCATAACAAGATTATTGATGAGAAGTTTGTGTTTCTTAAGGGTGTTCCATACGAATTGGAGATTTACCTTTGTTTCAAATTATGTCTTCTCAGGACCCTGTTTGACGTTACACGCCAACTGGACAAAACGCGACCCGTCACATTTGTAACTATGTTCAAAGCGTGGAGTGATAAAGTTGTGAGTTACTGATGCTTTCAGTTAAACAGTTATGTCATCGCTTAAGGTTCACTTTATAGAGCCCGAGTTGATTCGTTCTGAGGGATGACCGAGTAATCGAGCTACCATTGTGATTTACAGTATCTTAGTTCGTCTCTGATCTCTTCCATTTTTTACAGGTACAATTCTGCGATGTGATATTCTGCAATCGTTATTACGCCTGGTACCACGACTATGGCCAGACACAACTTATTTCTAAACAGTTAGAGCGAGAGCTGAGGGACTGGTTTGATACTCACTCAAAACCGGTTGTACAGGCTGAATACGGAGCTGACACTGTGGCTGGTATGCACGTGGTACGTGCCCATGATTTCTCTTGTTTTATATCACTGCGTTTTGTGTTTGGTTAAGAAGACTCGTGCCAAATTTTCAACCAATCATATGCAACTCTAAAATTAGTCACCACTTGGTTGCTCGCGTTTTCCCACCCTTTAGGCAGTGTGTTTTGTCGTACTTAAACTCACAGTCTAACCTTTATTTAGCGGCACCTTATTAAGCGGTTGGTTTTCAAAGTCCCGAAAGTTTTTCCCCTAAATCACTATAATTTTCACCTCTTTTAGGCGGTTACCTCTATTAAGCAGTCATGGTGACTCTTTTACTGAGTCCTGTTTGTATTGCTCTCCACCTGTATTGAACATCGAAGGCTTAGTAAGTACCCTCGACTTGAAACGGAGACCTTTTGGACTTTAGGAATGGTCTGTAGGCGGAAGTAGGAGCTTCTGAATCTGACTTAACTAAGCCAGGATGCAAGCTCAAGAAAATTCATTATGTTCTTCATGTTTTGATTTCGCACGTTCAGGTGGCCTTCGTGAAGGCTGAAAATTTATTCCTAAGATTTTGAGTCGCTTCAGATTCTGTGCAAGTGACTATAGTGTGTAATCATATTTACTTCAAGTTCCTGTAACATGAATAATTTTTCCGCAGATTAATCTTAATGACTATTATTGTCATCATCGTTACTGTTAATATTCTTTTCTTTTTTTGCAGGAACCTCCTGCGATGTTTTCGGAGGAATATCAAGTAAGTTCTCAAGTTTGAAAAAAGTCGAGAGCCCTGACGCCTGCGCTTTATTTAAATGCTCTTAGAAGTCGGTTAAATCAACGAGAACCTCCATGCTGTAAATTCGTATCTTGAAAATAGCACAATATTTGAACGAATTCGGCGCTTGAAACTGGTTTGTCAGGTTAAACCTTGGTTCAAGAATGCATTGAATTGCGTGATGATTGGCAAGATGCGGCTGAATTGGCTACAGAATAGAAAAGATTACAGGATGCAAGTTCGCCGTTTCTTGTTTCCCACGTTCAAGGCTCCAACCGAGTGATTAACCCATAAACCCTGATGTCAGTATGCATATTTTCCAAACTGTTCTTCACATATTACGTGGTACGGACAAGGAGAATTTGTTTAATAAGTAAGAGCTTACTGAAGTTGATGATCATTTGCTTTATTCTCATGACTCTCATGTTTCATTCAGGGGTGAAATTGTAAGGAGAAATAGTCCATTTTATAGTTGCGTGCCTGGTTGCTAAGCTTTTGAATTGGACAGGAGTGAGGCTAAGGGTGCCCTGCTATGATACAAAAGTTGCTGCTTTTCAAATGTAAATTACTTTAGATACAATGAAATATATGAAGTTCATATATTTTGCACTGCGGTATTAGATACGTATGGTGCACGATCCTCGCAGTAGATAGCGCTATTTAAGCAATAGCGAAAATCAGACCTGAAAAAA